GTCGTCCTGCGTATCTGTACCAGTCCCACTCATATTATGTTGTTGCCTATTACACTAATTATTTCGCCTGTTCCTCGATATCTACATGAACCCTTGAACAAATGCATATTATTCTTAGTCAGATGGACTTGCGAAACCCACATCTTTTGACGCACTGAACGCAGCACTTCTTTTCATGAACCTGAAAGCCACTTCAGTGTAAATTTCTTGAGAAGTCGAGTGTGCCAGGTTTGGTCAAACGCCTTTTGAATTGCCTTAATTTATTCTACAAGGGAAAATCTTCGCGTTGGGGTCACCACAAAGTGGCAATGTGGAATTTAGTCAATGCAGTTGAGAATTAGTGGGATCTTCAAGGCTCAGTCATAATTAGCGCATGGCAAAATGTAATAAAATGCTATTGCATGCATAGCGTTAGCACGTGTCTAACTCCAGCCAACAGTGTCTCATTTTGTCTGGCTTCGGGTGAAACGCAAGACGGTTGGCTAACAGACGGGAATGAGATAGCAAACAGCGCAATTCTCAACAATCAATCCCCTGTCTCATGTCTGACTAGGCTACTGTCACTTGTATCGTGCCGCCACAGTATCTGCTTTGCATCCCCCTCCGCGAAATCCAATAAACTTGTCACTATATCGTGCCGTGATGGCCAAGTCTTAAGCTCTGACCCATCCACCCGTTAAATGCGTTCAACTGGATATCTGGTTGGTCATTAGTGGGATAATCCGTGCAGCCTCAAATAAAGTTGTCAACCATTAAACGAATTTGTTTCTACGCGCTCAGAGCCTAAATTCGGCCCACAATCCTACAAGTTTTAAAACCCAGCAATCCACCTAGCCAAAAAATGTCACCGACTTAGTTGGTGCTCATCAAATGCTCACACTTCCTGTGAATTGTTTTGCTTCGTGACATTTGAACACATCCTGCGTAAACTGGCGCTCATTTGTGGGAGATTGGAGAAGGCCTTGGTGGACCTTGAAATACACACAGAACAAAAAGCCAGATTCAGGAAAGTAAATTGCCTTTTTTTACTTATTGAGTAGTTAAGAAGCAGAGGCTTCTTCAAGAAATTTGCAACTCGACACACTGCATGTTGTTCCATTAAGTTGTTCCAGGTTAAAAATCCAAAAAAAGGATCGCAATGGTCAAGCAACTTTAAGGTCAAATGGTGGAGCCGGATATAACTTAAAATGTATCAAGGCATCAATTAGTCAAGAGGTCTCTTTCAAAAAATTGGCTCATTGCTACCATGGGTTGGTGGGTCTTCAGGAGAGTGACGTTGAATAGACGGTGGTTAAACATCGACACTTCGTTGCGCAGATCGATGCCAAGTTTGAATGCGACCATTCCAAGAAACACGTCCTCCGGTGCATAATTGTACCTCGTGTATGCACTCGCGATGGCCATGTCGTCGACGATGTCAGCTCCAATGAATTGCGAAAACCCACGTGGATACGGAGTCATCGAATCCCAAGGACACTCGCCATACGACTGAAACCACCTCTTAGAAGGCGTCCGTCTTGGAGGACCGTTTACAGCAATATCACCAAATATGGATTTCCTTAATGTTTCTGCCGAAGTACTCTTGAGAAACTCTGCCACCAAGGAGAGATTCATGCGATGATCGTCATCGATTATCATGAAAGCGTTGGCGTGGTGTTTGTTGCAGAATGCCGACAGCCATCGCAGGTTCGTGACGGTCTTCCACGTCAAATTGAAATACGTGTCCTCGTAGTCTCCTAGTAGTATGTCATCGAATTGATCGATTTCCTGCTTAATGCGTTCCATAACTAAATCGGCTTTTCCGTCATATTCCTCCAACCTGTCACCATTCTTTCCATCCAGGCTGATGATGTGGCCGTCACGATTGAATATTCTGCCACCGTGTTTGCGTGGCATTCCTAGACTGAATACAACTCCCGCCTTGATCTGTGGACTGCGGGCTTCCTCGCGTTGCATGAAGGCACGAAAGGCCGTTCTGGCGTCCCACCCCAGATTGCCACTTTTCACCACGATGACGAGGTCGTGTTGTGTGTCGCGTGCACAGACCTTTGCGCTGGTTTTCAGAATGCGGATTGGAAAATTGTACTCAGGAATCTGCAAAAACCACCAAACGAATATCTGGCAATTATTATTGCTGTTAGTACCCACACATTACACTCACTCATTTGGCTTGGGTCTTTTAATTGCGCCAATATCGACTCGACCGACGCATTGGTGGCTAGAATGGGTTTGTAAGTGCTGAAATGGAAGTCATTGGGTGGGGGGTGGATTTTCAGTCTGCCCGTTTAAGCCAAGCTAACTTTCCTGGTTTAATCACAATCTTCGTTACGCGCCTTAACTGGTTCCTCGATTAAATCCTTGGTTATCTGTGAATTGATCTTCCGTGCTTTAACAATTGCCACTTATCTCAGGAGATGACTCTCTGGGGCATTGTCAGTGTGCTGAAAATTTAATTTCATTTTCTTTATTCATTCGTATGTCATTCAACATGAGTCATGTCGCAACGAAGATGGCCAAAGTAAGCTGACATCACTTAAAGCAATGCTGTTTAACATACATCGGAGACAGGAAGACCTGCTTTGGTGGCTTCGACGATTTTCTTCAACGGAACATCCTGTGGATACGCGTGGTACACCTGCGGGTACTTCACCAATTTCCAGAATCTTCGGGGTAACCTTTTGAGGTCCTCAAATGAAACCTTGCGTGGTGTTTTAATTCCTCGAAAGAGATCCGCAAGTGGATACCGATTTGGCGTATTTCTTATTGTTGTGTTTGCATTCAGTCGTACACAGAGTGTTATGTTGTATTCGCCCTCTGCCGACTTAATGTCTTCAGGCATATTTGGAGGCCATTTGCAGGATGCATGTGTAGGCATTAGCAGGTTGCTTTTAATTTTTGAATGAGACATTTGTTTCAACTGATGAAGCGAGATAACACTGACAATAAATAGACCACCAACCAAGACACCAATCACAAGCCCCCTCTTCCTCATTAACATATCGCAGGTCAGCTAAACATTTAGGCACAGCGTCTGAAGCTTAAATTTATATAGAATGGTCTCTGATACCATTGGATGGAAGAAAATGTGCCACTTGAATTCACAGCGAAAACTTCTGTTTGGTGATACCAATTACGTAAATGTGTGCGTGTTGTGAACGAGGAATTATTCCACAACATTCCTTGGTCATCATAATGAGCTAATCGCCATCAGAAGTAAGTGACGGTAAATTCATTTCGCACTGAACGCGAACTGTTTCTTATGAGTCTAACAACCAGCTTAATTTGTTCACTGGCAATATCCATGCAAATGTGCGTGGAAGCCACCGCTAAACAGACTGACAAATGTTAAACTGAATGTAAGTACTATATCAGTGTGACAATGGCAGGAACGAGGAATCACACCACAACACTCCGTGTGACATTAAATTCATTCCGCACTGAACTTGAACTGTTTCTTATGAGTCGAACAAGCAGCTTAATTTTTTCACTGCCAATATCCATGCAAATGTGTGCGGGAGCGGTAACTGAACAAATTGACAAATGTTAAACTGAATGTAAGTACTATATCAGTGTGACAATGGCAGGGTTCAAGTATGGTTAGCGAAATGCAGGCATAATTACTGTAAATCGCCATGGTCCCTGATGTCACGCATCAGGTACGCAGATGGCTCACATCATGAACCATCAAATTTCTATTGCAAATGTGTTTCATGGCATTGTACAAGTAATGAAGTTATTTCCAGACACGAAACTAGACTTAAATTTATGGTATCGATCGTCTTCACTGAAATAGACGGGCGTTTAGAGGATCCTCGAAACTTGCTCAGCGTACTATCCTAAAACTTAGCGTGTGGCGACAAGTAAGCCAGCACAGGTAGCATTCGTGAGCAAACCGATTTAATCTATTTTTACCATTAATGCACTGTAGTGGACAGACAGCCACTGCGCGTGAGTGCTGCGTGTATGCTTGCCCGACTGGATCACCCTCTTTATTATTAGTTCATGTTAGCAGTCGCCTGTAACGCACGCGTATCGATACGCACACAGAAGTAAGTTACTCAATTTTACTCAACTTGACTGGTCTGTCGTGACTCGAATAAACGTTCGTGTTCTCTTTCGACTCTGTTTTCTTTCGTCCCGGTTTGTGACCGACTGTTATCAATGGGGTTTTGTGGCAATGCTATTTTAGGCCTCTACAAGCGTCGCCATGACAACGCGTCAACATGAGTAGCAATATGATCTCTGGCGCAACATATGACGATCCACAGAAGCATTTGACAGCATTAAATGCTGCCAGTTTTGCTGCCTCTTACAGTAGCTCCGACCCCATACATCTGCTGACTACAGCCCCGGAATTGCGAAGGCATGCGGCACATTTTGGCTTAGCCGGCAGTAAATCGGGTATCAATTTGTCCACCTTTGAAGCATCGCATTGGATATGAGCCAAAAATTGGTTCACATCCCCGTGCAAGTTGAACTGAACTTTGATTGTGCTGCAGCCATGTGGCCTCCATCTTAAACAGTGTTTCTGCATCTTGAGCATCACACAGATGGTTGTCAAGAGGTCTTGAAGTTGATCTGGCAAAGCAACAGTTTGAGTCATGGTGATCTGGGGATAACTTGGTGCTGTGAATGAGACCACACCACACTCCCGCCCACACAAATGTCGTCGTCAAAACAGCCTTAACTTCATGGAGTGAAATATCACAGTCTCTGCAAATGAGTGGCGTCAGACACACTTCGACATGAACTCAAGCACCCCTATTGGCTGCACATTCCTCCGATACAATTGGGTGGAAGAAAATGTGCCACTTGGATTCACAGCGAAAACGTCTGTTTGGCTGCACATTATTCTAAATACTAAAATGTTGCGGGGTAAGTCTAAATGTGTGTTTGGCATGCTTCTTCGTAGCGCTGTCTCGCGCCATGCTTTCAAATCGAAAGGCTATTTTAAAATTGAATACTTTTAAGTTCTCTTATCAAACTCACGATAAAAACAACGAAATTGCATCCCTCTGAAGATGTTTTGGGGTATTCGCAGAAAAGGCAAGGTTTGATTAAATGATTTACACAGATACTAAACTAACTCCTGAAACTGGAGCAATATCTACCGGTGACCCAAACGTGTCCACAGAGTATTCCGTCGAAGCTAATCGTCAAAGCTGGTATTAGTCTCCCATGAATCAAGTTCTTTCCTTCATTGCCGCAATCTTGCCCTTGTCAAACACTCGACTGTTCATCAAAACACCATTTAATGGTACATAACCACAGTAACTGTCCTACAAACACGCACTTGAAGCAATTGGCGATTTGGTGGGCATCAAAGACCCTTCAGCAGAAGAGCAACCAAAACTCAGAAGGATATGCTAAGCCACGCAACGAAGGTTGCCACTTGCCACTCCGGCGCATAATTTTACCTCGTTTACGCACTTGCGATGGCCATGTCGATAACGATGTCTGTTCCAATGAATTGACATAATCCCAGTAGGTACTGATACACGCAATCTAATGGGAATTCACGAGAGGACAGAAACCACGATACTTGTTGCAGAATGCCGACATCCATCTCAGGTACTTGACTGTCATCCGAGCAAAATTAACAAGCGTGTCCTCGTAATCTGCCAGCACGATGTCATCATAATCCACGAGTTCCTTGTTGATGCGCTCCACTCTAAAGTCATCTCTGATATCAAGTTGCTCAAGCATGTCACGAGAGCATTTAAACAATGGTTTTATAGGTTGCCTCCAAGCATTTTATTGCCGAAACCGCCTACCTGGGAGCTAAAAAAATGAGTAGGTGAAATTGGCATGGTCGTGTCGGATGAGCGCACTTTGCCCGCGTCACACGCACAACATGGTTGGGAATTTCCTTTGGGAACGGTGCTGCAACTATGGTGTCTGCTCAGCCCATCCTCCTTACTGCCTGTGTCCACGGCAGCAATGTCGGATTTGTAATGAAGTAGCGCTCAAGTGCATTTAGACACATGAACAGAAGTACTGCGGTCAGTGCGTCAAAATGTGTTGGTTCACAACACCACAGATATTTCATTCCTTCCCCACAACCTGAATATTGTACTTTTGGTCTACTAATATAGACCTGCCGGTGCGAATAGGTTGGAGTGATGTGTCGACTTACATCAGTGACAGGAAGAACTGCTTTCACGTTTCACAGTGGAACGTCCTGTGGGTACGTTCGATACATCTCGGGATATCTCACCAGTTTCCGAAAACACCTTGGTAGCATTCCGAGATCCTTGAATGAAAATATGCTTCTACTTTTCCAATTGCGAAATGCATCACTGAGGGGATATGTCTTGGGCGTGTTTGTAAGGGACCAACTGGGATCAAGTCGTACACACAGGGTTATGTTGTAGCTACATTCGAAGTGAAAAACACACGTGTGAGAATGGCTTGAAAAACGACTAAATTATTGAAGACTACAGTCTGTTTTATCTGTAGATTTGAACTTCTATACCATTACTACTGCCCCTCAAAATTCCCATTCCATGCATGTTTCGTATTGCAAACGTTGGCTCTACGTCTGACACCCAAGGTTGCAGCACCGTTCCCAAAGGAAATTCCCAACCATGTTGTGCGTGCGACGCGGGCAAAGTGCGCTCATTCGACACGACCATGCCAATTTCACCTGCTCATTTTTTTAGCTCCCAGGTAGGCGGTTTTGGCAATGAAATGCTTGGAGGCAACCTATAAAACCATTGTTTCCATGCTCTCGAATCTACACAATCTTCACGTGACAATACACCAGCATGGAATTATTGATGTGTGACGCGCAACTCCCGAATGTCACACTGCGGTTGTACGTCTTCTCTCTAATTTCACACATCTTGCATTTTCCACGGACAAGGTTTGGCACTGAGAGTGTTGAGGACGTTGCAACTCCTCATCGAAAAACGGGATCATCTTGAGCATTGGTGGAATGTCGTCGCGGATTCGTCATCCACCACCTGGTCGCCCCGTTTTACTAGGTGGAGTGTGGGCGTGCATCACATGTATGTGATTCGGAATTT